TGCAGTGTTTTCGGGCTAACCAATTCATCAGTTACGGTCCCAATGATCGCATTAACCAAGGTGTACTGCAATGTGAATCGCGGTCCACATTGATATGGTGCGTTGCAATGAATTCACACAACGCGTACTTCACAATGACACACTAATCAGTCAGCAACCGTTAGGAATAGCGCCGCCCGCCCTGATTCGGTGACTAAAGTAGTAGAGATTTCAACTCACGTCCCAATTGTCCCGGGTTCAACGCCTGTTATCCATATCTGATGAGGTCAAATAAGAGTGAGGTTATACAATGATGAATAATGAATTTATACAGGTTAAGAAGCAATGCTTTATATATCCCGTTTGATGGTTTGACAGGGTTATCGAAAAATAAAAAGGAAGTGGGTTTTTACATTTAAAAGTAGGACTTATCGTCTGTTTCGCTGTAGTCCTGCGATCCGTGTCGTTTCACAGAACAAACATGTAACAGTAAATAAATCCAAAGTATCTTCCAGGAGTGGGATGGAGATGTAGTACTAGGTAACAAAGTGTAGGTAAGTGAGCCATCCAAACGTCTTGTAAATATGGATAGCGATGGTGCAGAAATGACCGATTCTGGAAAAGCATTCCAAGAGTGACGCACGCGGAAGGAAAGGAAATTCCTGCGGAAATCCAGGCAGCTGTACTGTTATGCCAGTTTTAGTGACCTCTCAAGTTGGTATTACTGCCGAGCTGCAGTAAGGAGCGGCACATATGATGTGAGTCGTACACCATTATCAAGTCATCTCGTAAGAGGCGGTAACGTCTGCTGAATACCCTCAAGCGTTCCAGGCTATCCTCTTCTGGAAGATGATGCATTCCAATAACGAACTTTGATGCTCGACGCTGGGGCTGCTCCAAGGCACTAAGGTCGTGTTTTAGACATGGGTGTGCATATTCGACACAAGAACGAACCTACGCATAAAGCACCTGCCGGAAAATAGAGCGATCTATCTGTCCAAACGGCAAGGGGACTTGTCACAGATAAACCCATCCCCAGAAATCCCAGTAAAGTTATTAATCAGACTACGTGCCAGCAGGAATTCTATTGCTTTTGCGGTACTTACCCTCTTCGTTATTCTGCAGCTTATGGAATTGTGGCTAATTGGCTTGCATTTCTTCATGTTATGCTTGGGTCTGACATTATGAGGCAGTACAACAGCTATCTAGCTGCTCTGCATGTATTTTAACGGCCTTCATTGAGAGAAAGAATAGATTAAACACAGGTACTTCAGCGGCTAGTTCCAGTAAGAGTAAAAGAAAAAGTAATAGTGGTTTTCGTGAGTAGTGTAATATTCGTAGAAAGTAGAAGCCACGATTATTGTGCAAAGTTTAATCATGGCTTCTACTTTCTACGAATATTACACTACTCACAAAAACCACCACTCATTTACCATCGCCCTTTGAACATCAGGAGGACAGATACTTCGGTTCATTGGGAAGTGACGAGTGAGTGAGCCAATCTGCAACACCAGGACAGATACTGTGAGCTTATTGGCAATACGTCGCGAATCAAGCAGAAGTCATGTATTAAATTGCGCACTTGATCGTCGGCCCTCGGTAGCTCAGTGGTAGAGCAGCGGACCGGTAATCCGTGGGTCCGAGGTTCGATTCTCCGTCGAGGCAGATTACTGTGCAGTTTAATCGTGGCTTCTACTTTCTACGAATAAAAGAAAAAGATCACATCCTCCGCAGTTGGACTGCTCCACAAGCAATAATTGCTTTTCATATCTCGGAGTGAAAAATTGATGTTAGGGGGTTAAGTGGGTCATTAGGCGATGGAGAATCGGTGGCTTATCCGAAGTGCAGAGCCCTGATTACCTCATTTATAATATGATTTCGGTATTTTATCAGATCAGCCAGCTCTTGGTCACTATTGTTACCAGGAAGTAAATGCCCTTGAGCAGTGAAGGGCGTAGTAGTTAACAGATTTGCTGTTGCAGAACTAGTGAGAAAACATTTGTCCGAGCGATTTTAAGTAGAAGACAGCCAATATGTTGTCGATTGATAGCGCAAATAAATCAAGTATAAACCTAAATTTCTGAGTTGATTTCTTCCTTCTACATAGCCCGAAACACATCATGGAAGGAGCTGAAACATCTTGCGGATCATGCCTCCACAGCGATACTGCCTAAAATTGAGTGCTCTGTCTGTATCTTGGCTGGCGACTTTAACAAAAGTGATACGATATTCATCATGATACTTTTTCTAAAAATTATGGCATCTTTCGAACCCAGTGTTGACGCACTAGGGGATCGTCTTCACAAACAAAACCCAGCTGTTTTCTACTTCAAAGCTGGATTGTCTTGACAATCCAGATCACTGTGTATTGAAGATATGCCCAATTATTTATAACAGGTCAAAAAATGTGTGCTTGACAAAAAAGCCCCTCAAAACCGTCAGACGGCGAGACTGCTCGACCAAAAATATCGCAGAACTCCATGTGACGCTGGTTTCGGCTGACTTTTCAGTTTTCAAGGACGAGAATTTAGCTTTGGAGAATATATTAACTTCTGCTTTCATCTAAGCCACCCCGATGAAACTAGCTACATATGCATGGACAGATTCTCTTCGTCGATACTTAAGCAATGTAGACGAAAAAAGAACAGGCATATAAATTCAAAATGTCTGCCCAGGTAAAACGACTATCGGCGGCAATGAAATCAGAGGCAATGTGACTGAATCGTTTATACTGTGTTAGGTAGTCACAATTGTCGAGACCTTTGGAAAGGTTTAAAGCAAGTGTTTGACAAATGAACTCCAAAGCGGCTTGATAACGTGGATGCTGAGTTTCGCTCTTCCTCACTAAGTATGCGTTATCTGCGTTCCTTCACAAACACAGGTCCCGCAGTCACCAGTTATCGTCTGGATGTTTGCAAGGAACTCAAGAAATTGAAGATAACTAAAGCTGCTGGACCTGATGCTTTATACCCAATCGTTTTGGAAGAGTGCGCGGATTATCTCGCGGTACCCTTGACCGATCTGTTTAACCGTTATTTTATGAGTAGCACAATCCCTGACATATGGTGACCTGCAAGGATAACGTCTGTGCTCAAGAAGCATTATCAATGCTATCATCCGATTGTGTGTGTCGGTAGCGCCGAAAGTCTTCGAGAAACTACTTGCCCTTTCGATTTCGACACGCTCACAGACAGACGATTTATACCAGCTTGTATATAAACCCAACCGCTCCACATTGAATGCTATGTTGTAACTTGTTCATTGGATGAAAAATGCGGACCAGTGTGCCGGCCGTTGTTTGATTATGCGAATACGTTCGAGAGTGTCAACAGATCAATTCTTCCCAACCAGCTCCTCAGGAGTGGGGCTTATACAAATGCTTGCAACGTGAGTACAGACTATTTTGCAAGCCGTACCCATTTCACCCAGATTAGCAGAACGAAGTCCACTACAGTTTGCTGTGATCGTGGTGATTCATAAGGAGCGACTTTCCCTCCCCCATTGTTTGTTCTGTTTGTCAGATTTATGGTGGTGTAATGTTCGAGGTGGGCAGAAATTAACTTGGCAGCAGGAAATGAAGTCACAGAGTACACACTGGGTGACGTTGGTCCGTCTTGCCACCAAGGCTGAAGTCCACGTCAGCCACCGTGTGCTTGGCTCGAGACGTTACAGGACATGGTTCGCAGTCGGCACCAGTGACGCGTCTAATGTCTCCTAGTGGGACTGCTTGCTTAAAGTGTGTTTGGTGTTTAGTTATCAGCGGGGTAATGGCTGATTATGATGTGGAGCAGTGAAAGCCGCAATGAAGCTGTCTCGCCGATGACGCTTTACCTTTCTACGATAGCCAGCTGTTTGTGACGGTATGTTGTTGGCAAGATGTAGACGCCTTGACCCTGAATGCTTGCTTGGGGATAGTAGGTCCTACACAAACCCCACTTTCACTCTTATTATTCCCCAGTCCATAGATCATTCTGGCAGTAGAGCAACGAAGCATAACTTCAAATTGTTGATATACCGCTACCGTTGAGGTTTGTGAACAAGAAAACGACCTGATGATTCGACTCCCTTGGTTTTTGAGCATCGTGGCCACGGTGACGGTTGAGAAGGGTCGGGTGAGCTTATTCGCCATGTGCGCGATGGAACAACAAGCCCTGAGAGATAATTAAATCAAAGTGTTCAGTTCAGTGTTCCAATGGTAATGACTAGATTTGCAGTATGACAGCGGTCGCATGAATTCCTGGGGTATTCCATCTTTAGCAAAAAAGTTGTGATTTTGGAAAGTGGTAAAAGGATGTATATTGTTTTAAGAAGATCCATCGCGGATAGACTTATCCAAACAGCCACCAAACATCCAAAAAAGCGCTAGACGGCCTTTTCGTCCTCTTGAGACTAGTTAGTAGCGCGCATCTACGCTATCACTGAGCCATAAGTGATGACAGCGGACCGCCATCACTGATTTACAACTGCGATACACTTTCACTTCACTGTTGTACATGTTATGAGTGCGCAGAGGACAGGGTTGGACCACTGCAAATTGTGGCGTATGTGCATCATAATTAATACCATATGTAGTATGTAGCCACGATATAGTACGCTGGTTGTTCTCTAGGCGCACTGGATCCCCTTAGATAGACTGGGGTTCAGAGGGAAAAGTAACGTCAACCGGCCAGTACAAGGGTTGACACTCAATCGGACAAATGCATCCCAAGTAAGTGACATCGTATGGCCCATGAGTGATACCACCACAATGCAATTGAACCTTTAATCGATTTCCAGCGCTCGTCCCTAGAAATTCATATTGAAGGAACAAGCTGCATGGATACGTTTGAAGGTATCACAATCAAAACGCTGATACGTCAGTCGCAGCCATCTGCTTAACAATAAATAAACTGTATGGAGAGACTCAAGGAAGGCATGCTAGAGATTCTCTTTGACGTGTGGCACGTGCAGTTTTACCTATCTGCAGTATAGAGACAACGCACTACGGAACGGAACGAGCAGGATGGAAGAGTAAAGGGTTTCGAGTTAGGAAATAGGATGTATTCGGAAAAAGGAAAGCACCCATTTGTCACTTGCTTAAAGATAAAATTGTGGTGAACAAGTGCGAAATCACCCAGCTCAAGAATCTTGAACACAACCAGATCAAGATGCCGGGATGGAAGAAACATCTTCAAGAGACCAAAGGTACGTGTGAAGTAAACATGGGAGGTTGAAATTGTAAAATGGTCAAGTGAAAAGCATGTTTTGAGGAAAAAAATTACGAACCGGAAAATCATCATAACAAAATATATAAAAGTTGAGTTTAATGGAGGAAAAGAAATAGTGATCATGGTTTGGACCTGAATACAGGGGCGCGAGATTTAAGTGGGCTTATCACAGAAAGACGGCGAGGAGCAGTACTCCTCGAAGGAGAACGAGGAAGACACGAAGCGTGCCCGTCAAAAGCACATGCAGTTTGGGGCAATGGAGCCGAGAACGGCCTCGTTGATGACCGTGATCCATAACGACCTAGACAAACAGGCAAAACGGAGGCTGGCGTGAATACAGTGATGTAATCATTGATCACCGGAGGACAATTTCAAATAGTGGTCCGCCAAAACGCGCCAGGCTGTTGGAGCCATGAATCCATCCGGTGGCTGCTCGCCCGTTCGAGCCAAAGCACGCATTTTGGTACCAGAGATGAACACAAAGTCCGACGCGCGCTTTGGGTCGAAAAAGTCCATCTTACCCTGCTTCTGATCGTAAGCCGCAACTCGAAAAGGTAGTATGTGCAGTCCAGGAAGACCAGGCGCCATGGATAGGACCTAGGAGAGGAAAAAATACATTCGAAGTATGAACAACCCGGAGATAGTCCAGTGCGTGGTGAGTGCCGGATCAAAATGTAACAGAGAAGAGCTAAATCGCCATCCGTTAGCTAGAAGAAACACGAAATCAGGTCGCGCACAAGTTATCATATCTAGTAAAACGCCGTATCAAAAAGTGACGTGAGTCGGTAAATGCGGAGAGTAGGTGAAAAGTGGGCACTAATGGATCACAGAGTTGGGGTTAGCGTGAAAAGATGGATCCGTGATGTACAGAGCATACAGTTGTTACATAGTAGCATATAGCAGTATATATTACAAGTGAGTGGTCGCATCAGATGTATAAAAACTACGCCCTTTCAAGTGAATGATAAAGCGCGTAATTCGTGGTAAGACCAAAGTTATTAGGATCACAGTGAAAGTCACCACGACTGCTCGTCGGGCCGCAGATGTCTGTGGAAAATCCTGAACTGATAAGCTCGAGATAAGAGCATCCGGTTGATTTGCGAGGGTAAGGTAGGTGCAAATGGGTGGCTACAATCGCTGTCTGCAAACTACGATTACTGTCACGGAGAGTGAGAACGCTCACGAGCATCCATTGATAACCAGTAAGGAACGGCCTACGGGCAGTGCAGATTCGGGGAGATGAGACTGTGAAGTGTTAGGCTGGAAACGAAGTCATTGTGGTGGCTCGTACCTGAGTTGAATCATGTGGTCAATGACTGATGCTCTCTATGAATAGTGTTTGGATGTCCGGACAGGTCTCATCCATCAGGACGACTATGGGACTAATGTACCTCAGGCGTACGGGAACCAATGCTTTGGGCGTAGCTACCTTATACGTGGAAATCGTAACTGAGTCCGAGGATTCAGTTCCATTCGACAGTCATGATCATTGCGTCAAAATGAGATGAGACTAGCAGCGATGACTGGCGCCGCCATGATTACAGTAATTGATAGTGGTAGGGGGAAATGAAGGGCGGATTAAAAGACAAATACAGTGAAGAGGTTAATGGGAAAAAGATACGCGACAGCATTGGAAGGTCAACAGCTGGATGAAGAAAAGCGAATGCATGAAGGCCATTAAATTCGCAAATGACACAAATTGGAGACGGTCCCCGGTAAACGATTTGATAGAGCCCGAAGATCTTAGCCAGAAAGCTGGCAAACAAAAGTCCGATTAAGAAGCGCGATCAATTTCTTCGCTTGTTTTGTCACGTCTTCTATCGGCTAAATACGTTGTTGTTTTATCTAACTAGGCGCAACAACGTCAAAAAGTGCATGCCGAAGTAAGCGAGTGATGCGCTTACGAAGAGTATAACCTGGTAAAACTAGACGACTGGATTGGACAGATGCTGAAACACAGTACCACAGGGGTTGATGACGAACGCCAACTGGTGGGCGTGAGCAGTTCACCCATGATGCTTCCACCAGATGATGGTAGTACTGAGAAAGCGCCTGGTGGTAACAAGCAAATGACGGATTCGTGCCAATTAGCAATCAACAGGGATTAGTAATACAGGTGTCGCAACGAACGTGCAAACACAGACAGACAGCCATCACACGTCCTGAAAGGCACTGTACGGCCGTTTCGTTCGTTCGGGAACCGTCAGCAACGCGCATTCCATCTGACTCCTGTTGGATTAGAACTCGCAACGCAAATCTTACCAGTCTGTGGTCAAAACCGCGTAGGTCGTTACGTTCTCCCGTTACTTATTGGTAGCAGTTGAGTCGTGGGTTCTAGCCTCACAGGGGACAGAGATAATGCGCACCGCTGACGATTCACGTAAGGACGAAATGACTGTGCAGTGCTTTTCTGGGTGTGATGGCTGTCTGACTGCATTTATAGGTGACGGATTACTACTTATACCTTTAAATCCCCCTGGTCAGTGTAACTGTCGATGTCAGGAAAGTTGAACCCTGGGAAAGGTGTCCGCCTGTCAATTGGAACTAATACAATTGTTATGAACTTCAAGTCTTCCACAAGTCTTCAAGATATGAATGTGCATATCGGGATTAGTGACGACGGATAGGAGATAGTATTAGCCACCGAAAAAGGGGCTGCCGACAACGAGTGTGAGATTGATGTACCACGAGGACAAAAATGCAAACACGTGACACCCCTCGGGGGCGTGCACGTCACAGACTGCAGATTATTAATACGAGCTCATGCAGGACTTTACGTGATAGATCGGAACCAGTCGCTTTCAGCTATATTAAACCAACTCGAGGTAACGGCACGTGAGAGAATGAAGAGGCTGCTCAGATAGTACGTGATCAGGACGTCAAACAGCGGATCGGATGTAACGCTGATGATTTTAGAGAACAGACGTACCTTTTAAGTACATAACCTCAAGTTGAAGTGCGGGCCTAGAGACAGCCACAATACTGGATCTCAGTTAATTTGATGAATTGTGGTGGAAATTAGGAAAGCCCTGGTCAGGTTAAGTCAAAAACTGATTCAACCACTACGGAGAAAAAGTGCCGGAAAGGAAACGTGTAGCATCGAGATGAATGACTCTCATGGAGGGACGAGTTCGAGCAAGGGATGAAGGGAAAAACTACGTGTATGATGAAGTCGCGGAGATGATTGCGTCTGTGCTTAACAAGGATTTTCCCACGTTCACCGAACATAATTCCAAAGGAACGCAATGGGCACGCTAAGCACAGCCATATCGATAAGACTTGTGATCCGGTGACTCACTGCATCCAGTACTCACGTATGTTGCCTAGCCCCCTCAGTTGTGATCAGAAGAGCCTAACAATGAGCCACCGGAAAGTAATCTTGTTCGCTAACACTTGCTTCTTGTGACTTCTTCGGGAAATATTTGTTACATCAATGAATTTTGAGTACGCCGCGGTACGTCGTTTCGATACTACGCGACTACCACCAGTCGAGTGCGGATTTGGGATACAGCAAGGTATCGCGCGCTTACACAGCCTCGAACCGGTAACCTGTGAACTACAAGCCAAGCGCCTGCATCAGCTGGCCACCGATCGACGATTCAGACCATGACAATGGTGACCCTGATGAGTACGCGAATGAGGTCAGCAGTGGTGACGTTATCAAGGATGAGATACTAAGGTGTTGAGATCCGAGGTATAGGCGCGCGTGTGATAGAAAATACCGAGATCTAATACGCGCTGGACAATATACAATGATAATTGAATCCTAGGCAGATCGGCCTGCTAATATATGTACAGTCTCCCGGACACCCATGCAAATGAACGAAAGTGGTAGGTTGGAAAGTAGGCCCTCGGTAGGGACATCTGAGCTAGCTGATGGAAAGGCGAAATTAGAGGGTGCCTGTGTCAGAACCAGAGATGATTGATGCCACGAGAGCGGGACATCGCATACACCTTAATAAACAAGAAAGACTGGGACCGTGGGCACGTTGGCTGGGTTTATATTGTTCCAGGGCTGGTCTGCACATCATTAAATGTCCTTGTACAGGAAATGGTTGTTCCCGCTGGTAGCCCGAGATCAGTAGTAAAACAGAGACTTTCGAAGGTATTGTAATCGATCACAGTTTAATTCTGCGATCCCGAAGTGGTCGAGTCCATGCGCCACTGGCCGAGCCTGCCGTGGACGTGAAGAAGATATCCTCTCTAATCCATGCTATTAAGCACCGAAGTAGTGCATGGCGAAAACCACGCCCTTTTTGAAGACAAAGACAGTTACGATGCCTGCCGTCAGATGACCGGTGAATGATGACAGTGTATGCAACAGAATACGTATTGCAGTATAAATGTTTAAGCAGGAAAAACTAACCCGTCCTCCGTGCGTCGGGTCGTATAAATCCACACCAGAGCCGTTTGGATGAGGTAGTCCAGCTGGATCTCGTCCGACGATGTAAAACTGGGCACCAGCGATGAGACGAGTTCTCGCGTGCCATTGCACTTCTCGTGGGCCTGCGTACAACATTGGAGAGGGGAAAATGGCCACCAGTGTTGTCTGTGGATCTAACACCTTTTCATTCAAACATGCAGCGTGTTGACGCATGCGTACGTCAAGGGGGACATCATCCGACTTTGTCCATCCGCCAAGTGGGTGAAGCAAGAGGACTGGGTTTTGGTAACCATGTTCCTCGAGCAAACGGCGCCGTGTCTCTGTCATGAGTAGAGCGTGCCCGTTATGAACTGGGTTTCGTAGTTGAAAAACAAAAACGCAGTCTGCCTGTGGAAAATATATTTGGAAACAACCCAGTGTAAAAGAGTAGCAAGGGACGTGAACAAAACGAAGTGACAAGTAACGGTGTGCTTAGGATGACAAGCCAGGGGTGCCAATTGCTCAAGGAAGGTATTCTGCTCGTTGATGTAATGAATGCGGTCAGAGCAACAGTAAAGGTTGGATAATGCTTTGTCGGACTGTTAGAGTAGGCCGATCTTCAGTAAAAGGAAGGAGAAGGAAAAGACGACACCGACCGTTGTAGTTATAGTCTGATTGATCAAGGGTGTTGACCTCAGGTTAACACTAATCTGCTGAATGATGCGTTCCTGTCTGTTTCAAGTTGGCCCTTGGGCACCAGCTGGTTCTGACCTAGTTTTGACCTCTGGTCACCAGTGTCGGTGATCTACGCTCTAGGGGACGCATTTTCCTAGCACCTCCCCTTCAGTTTGTAGGGTGTACCATCTCCGCCTTGGGGCAACGTGGAACGGAATCATCGGTTATCGTGCACATCTAGATTTGCATCTGGCCGTCGTGCACAGATAAATGTGACTCCGATCCAGGATGTCCAAAGTCGAAAATAGCACCTCAAAGATTAAGGGAAACGCTAGGAATACTCAGTTCCTAGGTCGCTGTCAAGAGTTCGTGACGCTGCTGTGAGGTCAAACGTAACGGATGTATGAGGGCGCGCTACCCGCAAACCACGAGACTATGAACTGAGAATAGAAAACGAACGGCAAATTCGTACAGGGCTCAGGAAACGCGACAGTTGTGCAAGTTCAAGGATAGTGGGCGTTGGCGTGTACACAGGATGTGAAGGTTCATCGTTAAATACAAGGTAGTGTTAAGACGACTGCTTTGGGAATAGAACCCGGCGTGTGGCGTTTGCTGTTTTTCCACCAGTTAGACCAAAACAGCTGTTAGTTCCAATGTCCCATGTGGAAGTTCGAACAAAAGGAACAGAAAACTGCTGAGCACAAGTGATGCCAGAGCTGACACTTCTCAAACTCACTTTCATCTCCAAAAGTTTGGAGTGTAGTTCCAGCGGAGTCAAACGGTATTCATCTAAGCCATCATTCCAACGAATACGTTCCAGCACCTCGATGTCACCGCCAAGTAGCCAGTCGCCTAATTCCAAAATGGCTTTCACACTTGGGTGGCCTGGATGAAAAGTGCCAAATGTGCGGCAGCATCGTTCTTCCTAAAGATGCGGAAAACGGCAGTGGTAATGTGTTAATGGAAATTCTTGTAGCGGTGCTAAGCGAAAACTAAGATAGTCTAACAGGACGGTTGTTATTGGAAAGGTCTCTGACAATTCGCAGTAGATACTGTGTGGCCTGGAGCTTTCATACTGAAAAACATGGCTGAACCTTAGTACTAATGTTCATAAATTTAAAACGAAGAGCTGAGTCCGAAGCGCCTTCGAAATCGAAGACTGCAACTGTGGTGATTATGCATTGAGGAATTCCGGTCAAAGGTATAGAGAAACACTGAAGGTAATGGAAAAGAAGTAGTCACCAGTATTCTATCTGGAAGTATTCACCACAATGTGCACATCAGTCAAAGCTGCTCTAAAACTGCGTTACAACGGATACAGAATGACAGATTAGAGTATCGTTGAACCTAAGGCACAGCAACGGTGGCTGGATCCAAAAACATAGACTGGCATTAACTATTAGCCGAAGCGTCTGACGCAAATACGAAATCGGACAAATATACCGCAGAGGTTGCGCTTGGTCATGAGTTAGCTACCAATTAGACAAACACAGGTAGTTCCGGGAGTTATCAAAATGCTAATCGGTAGGGCTGGGTGTGCGAACGAACCACAGCACCGAAATGAGTTTTCCTAGCGGTGAAAAAGATGACTGATGCTACCATTGGTAGTTCCAAAATCAGTAGACGATCTCACGTACTAGAAAATAAAGCTGCTAATGAACAATAAGCAGCAATAATTGGAGGAAAAAGTAGCCAATGACCAGTGCAACCGGGTGGAAAAAGTGCTAAAGTTCGAGTTTACGGAAGTTGGTGGAAGCTCGCAAAGAGGCAAGTAATTCCCGGGTAGCCGCGTACAAACTATGACGCTTGTGAAGAGCGTTTGAGCCTAGATACGATTGGTCATTCACCGAGTACTTGTGGCTTGAACTGCGGATGAGTGACTTTTCGTACCGATGCGCCTGACCAAACGAAAGATAGTGTGTCTGTTAGGAGACAGCCCACAAATTTTTGACACTGCAGAAAACGTCTGATGTTACGCAAGTGCTAACTGTCGCATGAAGTCGGATACCGTCGGATGTTGACAAATGCCGGATGATGAATTCGACCTCGACTCTCGTGGACAACAGATCGCGTGTGGTAACCTCTACGTGACTAGGGTGCTGAGTGCAGACATACTAATGGAGAGAAGATGCTATGACTTTGAAGTCTTATCCGTTGCTTACCCGATGTAGCGAAAGTGAAGACATTATTATACTGTCGACAGGAGCGCAAGTTCAGGAAAACGGTGGGGTGGGTAGACTGCATGGAGAAACAACTGGCTTCGCATTCTAACCTAGTTACACTAGACTTTTAGTGATGGACCGGTATGTGACTAGTCAAATGGGTTAGTGAACATGGTTGTGTCAGGTCGACGTTATCCTCCAGCTAGGTCCGAGTAAGAAATCAAGTGCAGAAGCGCCACTGACCACAAGAAGGTCCAACATCGGATAAGGTCTCTAACCAGTGAGATAGACGAGCTCCAAGCCCTGCCTACCGTATCAGACAACTTCTTCGTGTTTTTGACGAAAGCCCCGGTTTTCTCAAACGACAAACAATACATGCTAAGGCAGGCGATTAATGGGTATGAGAAGAGCATGGTTTGACAAATGTAAACAGTTCTAGATGAACAGATGCTCCAACGTGGTACCTCAGTGTTTCTCCCCAGACGCCAAGTGGTAGACTTCAGCAGTACTTACCCAGTAGTCCCACCAGATGTGAACAACAGTTCGCAATAACCGATGACTAAAGTGGTCAATTTCACAATGTCTTCAGCGCATTGTGACCATGTTTTTCAGTACACAAACATGGATTTTACAGCAACGTTTTACGCCATGCGCAATCAGACAGAAACTGTCATCTACAAAGCCTACTGTGACCTTGAGAACCTGCACCAAATTCGCATGCCAACGGAGCGGCCTTAGAAAGCAGTTAACAGGCTGATGAAAAATGCGATCACTAACATCTATCCGCCACGCGTCGACCCTAAAACGGCCTCCCATATGGGGTTCGAGGTCCGAAAAGCCGACCATCTGAGTATACATGCCACCAGCAATCCTCACGATGTCCGAATTTCTGGCCAAACAGATAACGGACAACAGTTGATGACCCCCGGGCTGCAGTCGTCTTTGGCAAGACCACAAGAAAGTGCCTTACATTAAAGGGTACCAATAAAGGCATATGAATATTCGAAATAAAATCGCGAGCAACGCCCACGCGATGTGACGCAATCGAATTGGTATTTCGGTTGAGAACGATACCGTTGCTGTGAATACTTTGTGAGGTCGACTCGGTATTGCCAGAGACAAACCTAATCAACATCAACAGAAGAGGAGACCGTTAGTCAAATATCCATTTGGTGCAAGCAACCGTTATACTAGTCTAAGAGACACAGTACACATCGGTGGCAAGTGGCGATATCTGTCCACTGAGAAAACCTACAACGCGAACGTTGAAAGAACTAATGTCTTATAAGTGATTTAAGTACATCGTCACCAATGGGCGTCCAATTATCAGTAGTTGTTTACTGGTTACTGCAGGAGAAAGCATGAAGATAGGAAGAGGAAAAAAGAGCAATGACGATAGGTAGTTGTGGGCAGATAGTAAACTCAGACTGCCCTTTTCCGAGGGGTTTTGTTAGATGCGCCAGAGTTATAGTATTTGACTCAGTCCGACACCCAAAGTAGCGGTATGAATGGGCATTCGTTTGCGTGGCTCAATTCGGATTTGTTGAGACCATAGTAGACCCAAATACCGGTTGGGAATGCAGTACTCTACCGATATCTGGTTGAAAATAGCAGCACGCAATCTTGGACAGTCCCAGAAGGATTGTTGCCGCAGTTAGTTTTCAATAGTGGCAGAAGGTAAACCCCTGCGATTAGATGCATCCCGGTGCGCAAGTGTTGCGGGCACGTCAAATATTCCCGCAAAAACGAGCCAGGAACCCCGGCAGAATGGCTGGGGAAACCGAGGTTCAATTTCTCCCCACAACGCAGCAGCGCTCAACCACTCCGAGAAGCGGCCCAACTGCGCACCTTTTGACAATGGTCATTTGCAAACTACAACCTCGTCGTGGTGACTGTTTTTCCTAACTTAATAACCCACAGCATTGGCTGTCATTCGCCCTTTGTTGGTCGTAAAAGAGCATACAGAGGACCGCCTGTCTTTCCTCTTCGCCTTACTTGGGAGTCGGTCGGGTCACGTGATTTTGTGTGCGTCGTTAGCTGACCAGCGTTCGCATCTAAGTCATTAGTGCGCGCCTACCGTAACTCCCTATCGCGTGCGTCCGTTCCGAGGGCTCAGCGTCTACCTGAACACGTGCGGCTAGGGTCGTTCTCACGCTCGCTCAATTTCCGTCTCACCGGCTAAGCTAACGTCATCAGGTCAGCGCAACTCCGTTCGATTGGCCAGCGTTACAAGCAGTGATCGAAGGCGTGCTCCAACCGTGCCAGTGACAATCTTATCAGGCATCTACACAATCATAACAGAGGCGTTCCCTCAATTATAACAGTGGCGACAGAGTTGACGAACCATGACTGACGAATAGGCCGATTTAAAACTGATGCTGCAGCAACAGCTTAAGCTGATGTCCGTGCTAACCGAAAAGCTTTCCAGTTCTTCCCTTCATCAGGTCCAAGCGCCAATTCTCAGTCAATGGACCATGTGGTTAACGGCATCAGCGAATTCCTGTACGACGCCAAGGCCGGGGTAACGTTCGAATCTTGGTACAAGCGGTACGAGGACCTGTTCACCATTGACTTGGCTAGCCAGGACGACGCGTGGAAGGTCCCGCTGCTTCTTCGCAAACTTGGTACGCTCGAACACCAACGCTACACCTACTTCATCTTACCGAGGGACCCACGCGACGTTACCTTTGATGAGACAGTCCGGACGTTGTCCCAGATTTTTGGCGAGCAGTACTCTCTGTTCAATGCTCGTTATCAGTGTCTGCAATTGGCCAAGCGTGATACTGACGACTTCATCAGGTACGCGGGCATGGTCAACCGTGAATGTCAAGGTTTTCAACTTGGTTCACTCACCGAGGACCAATTCAAATGCCTGGTTTTCATCTCTGGCCTCCAGGCTCCACACGATGCTGATATCCGGACGCGCCTCCTCTCCAAGCTACAACAGGATAGCTCAGTCACACTCCAGAACCTGGCCGAGGAGTGTCAAACGCTGCTCAATCTGAAGCACGATTCTGCCATGATACAGAACGCCGCCGCACCTGGTATGGTTCAGGCAGTCACAGCACAGAGGGCGCAATCGTCTGAGCGCTCCACCCAATCCGACTGAGCGAAGTCCCCACCCTACGCGTGCCGATTCTGTGGTGCCTGGCGTTTCCACCGCGACTGCAAGTTCCGTCAGCATCGTTGTCAACGTTGTGGCAGGGTGGGGCACCGGGATGGTTACTGCCATCCTCCATTTCCTAAGGAGATCAAAACTGGGCTGGCCCCAACCGCTGTCCGAAGAAGAGGTCCCGACCCAGACGCACAGCCAAACCTGCTCCGGTTGGCAGCTCGCTGAGCCTGCTGGCCACGTTCCAAATCAACGCTGCGGATCGGAGAAAGTTCGTCGACGTCTTGATCAACTGTCAGTAGATCCGATTGCAGATGGACACTGCGTCGGATATCATGATCATCTCCGAGGATCTCTGGCGATCCATTGGCAAGCCACCGTTCGAACCGACCTCCCAATTTGACACCAGCGCTTGTGATGGTCGCGTGCAGCTAACTGGGCAGCTGCACTGCTCCGTCTCCTGCCGAAGCGCCACGTTCAAGGCGATCTGCTACATCACAAAGGCGAAGCTCAACCTGCTTGGTCTCGACTGGCTCGAAACCCTTGGCTTGGCCGATCTTCCTCTTCAGGCCATCTGCAATGCGGTACATTCGGCGACAGTACCAAACGATCGAACCGCCGACATCATCAGACACTTCGCCCCGGTATTCC